AGTGGCTGGTCATTTGTGTAGATGTTGAACATGGATGGAGCAAGCACGCTCCCCTGAGGCAGGCCGTTCTTCTGTTTCCGCCATCTGCTTCTCTGGCCCTGGAACTCAACAAAAAAGCTCCTGTTTTGTAGCAGGTTTGCTATGAGGCAGGTGAGGTGGCAGTCCTTTGTGATATTATACATTTTTCTCAGGAGGAGGTGGTGGTTCACAGTATCATAGGCTGCTGTGATCTGCTGCCTTTCAAAGCCATCTTCTATGTGCTGAGTCAGGTTCATCACTTGCCTGAACCAGCACTTGCTGCATCATGAAATACAAAATAGCAAATATAACAATTAAAAATATGAACATTAATAAATAAAGATTAAACAGTATACTTACGATCCATTTAGCTATTGCCAGTCTAGTGGCTATTTATCTAGCCATATACTAATGATTACTCCCCTTAACTTATCCAAATCCACTTCCACGGCATAGTCAAACATTATCAATTGTCCTTTAACCTAATTGCCCAAAGGCCTGGTCCCACAACCACATTTTTACCTTCTTTCTAAAGGTGAGGAGGGATGACGATGACCTAATTTCCCCGGGAAGCGAATTCCACAGGTGGGGGCTACCACTGAGAAGGCCCTGACCCTCGTCCCTGCCAAACGTGTTTGAGACAAAGTCGGGGCCAAGAGCAGGGCCTCCGCTCAAGATCTTAAGCTCTGAGGTGGGAAGTAGAAGGAGATGCATCCGGACAGGTACGCTGGACCGGAGGCGTATAGGGTTTTATGCTATGATACTTCACCTTGTTGACAGGAAGCTTCCCACCGGAGTGGAAGTCATCTATCAGACAGATGGCAAGCTGTTTAACCTCAGCAGACTGAAAGCCAAAGCCAAGGTTACAACAACATCTGTTATAGAACTCCAGTATGCTGATGACAATGTCGTCTGTGCGCATTCAGAAGATCTACAAGCCACTCTAAACACCTTTGCAGAAGCATACACAAAGCTTGGCCTGTCACTGAACATCGAGAAAACCAAAGTGCTATTCCAGCAGTCACCAGCCATCCCCTCCCCAATGCCAGAGATACAGCTTAATGGTGTAACATTAGAAAATGTTGACCATTTCCGCTACCTTGGCAGCCACCTCTCCACCAAAGTCAACATCGACACCGAAATACAACGCCGCCGGAGCTCTGTGAGCGCAGCATTTTCCCGAATGAAGCAGAGAGTGTTAGAGGACCGGGACATCTGTAGGGATACCAAGGTGCTTGTCTATAAAGCTATTGTCCTCCTAACCCTGCTATACGTCTGCAAAACGTGGACTGTCTACAGATGTCACATGCAACTCCTGGAACGATTCCATCAGCGTTGCCTCCGGAAAATCCTGCAAATCTCTTGGGAAGACAAGCGGACAAACGTCAGCATGCTGGAAGAAGCAAAGACCACCAGCATTGAAGCGATGGTCCTCTGCCATCAACTCCACTGGGCCGGCCACGTTGTCCGGATGCCTGACCACCGTCTCCCAAAGCAGTTGCTCTACTCTGAACTTAAGAAGGAAAACGGAACGTTGGTGGACAGGAAAAGAGATTTAGAGATGGCCTCAAAGCCAACCTTAAAATCTCTGGCATAGACACTGAGAACTGGGAAGCCCTGGCCCTTGAGCGCTCCAGCTGGAGGTCAGCTGTGACCAGCAGTGCTGCAGAATTCGAGGAGGCACGAGTGGAGGGTGAAAGAGAGAAACGTGCCAGGAGGAAGGCGCGTCAAGCCAACCCCGACCGGGACCGCCTTCCACCTGGAAACCAATGTGGGAGAAGATGCGGGTCAAGAATAGGGCTCCACAGCCACCTGCGAATCCACAAGGAAACCCATCATTGAAGATCATCTTACTCTTTCCAATGAGGGATCGCCTAAGTAAGTAAGTAAGTAAGTTTTTATTTTCCCTTTGCTGCATTTTTGTCTGTTTTGTTGCATAAAGAGGAAAATAACAGAAAAGGGAAAAAGATGCAATTCCTGGAGTAAAAACATAAGAGTCCCCCCCCCCCCCAGATGTAGCACGGTGAGGCACCAGCATACTTAGGGAGATCTTGTGAAACTATAACTCCCACGGTTCCATACGATTTAGCCTTGGCAGTTAAATATTCCAGGGACACCTGGAATATTGTGTCCAATTCTGGGCACCACAATTCAAGAGAGATATTGACAAGCTGGAATGTGTCCAGAGGAGGGCTAAAATGATCAAGGGTCTGGAGAACAAGCCCTATGAGGAGCGGCTTAAGGAGCTGGGCATGTTTAGCCTGAAGAAGAGAAGGCTGAGAGGAGATATGATAGCCATGTATAAATATGTGAGAGGAAGCCACAGGGAGGAGGGAACAGGTTTCCTTTCTGCTTCCCGGGAGACTAGGACGCAATGGAACAATGGCTTCAAACTACAAGAGAGGAGATTCCATCTGAACATGAGGAAGAACTTCCTGACTGTGAGAGCCGTTCAGCAGTGGAACTCTCTGCCCCGGAGTGTGGTGGAGGCTCCTTCTTTGGAAGCTTTTTAAACAGAGGCTGGATGGCCATCTGTCAGGGGTGATTTGAATGCAATATTCCTGCTTCTTGGCAGGGGGTTGGACTGGATGGCCCATGAGGTCTCTTCCAACTCTTTGATTTTATGATTCTAATTGCCTCAGAGAAGATTGCCCCAGAGGCCATCAAATGCTAATCACGGTGGTCAGCTGAAACATTCACACCTAGCTCCAGCAGACAAGAGTTCTTTGTCCCACCCTGGTCATTCCACAGATATATAAACCCATTTTTCTAGTTCCAACAGACTTCACTACCTCTGAGGATGCTTGCCATAGATGCAGGCGAAACGTCAGGAGAGAATGCCTCTAGAACATGGCCATATAGCTGGAAAAAACCTACAACCCAGTGATTCCAGCCATGAAAGCCTTCGACAATAAATCAGGGACATCTAATCACCTCTCAACAAAAGATTGCTCTAGGCACTGCCAGGCCATCAAATGTTAATCAAGGTGGTCAGTTGAAACATTCACACCTAGCTCCAGCAGACAAGAGATCTTTGTCCCACCCTGGTCATTCCATAGATATATAAACCTTTTTTCCTAGTTCCAACAGACCTCACTACCTCTGAGGATGCTTGCCATAGATGCAGGCGAAACGTCAGGAGAGAATGCCTCTAGAACATGGCCATATAGCCCGAAAAAACCTACAACAACCAAGTGATTCCGGCCATGAAAGCCTTCGACAATACATTGTTTATATTTTGCAATGCAGGCCGCATCTACACTGTCAAGCAATGCAGTTTGAACTGGATTATATGCGTCTATACTGCCATATAATCCAGTTCAACCTACATTATAATTGCAATATAGCCCCTAATTATATATATTATAATTGCAATATAGTGTCTTAGCCACAAAGGTGGACAATTTTAGAAGAGTTCGGATTTGAGGGTAAATGATGCTCAATTTTTCTCTATTATCCATCTGTGTTTGTTTACAATAAACCACGTGATTTTCTACCATCTGCAGGAAGCAGGCTTTTTTTTTCTTTCCCAGAGTAAATATTCCTCCCTGAACAGACATGCGCAGTAAAGACCACCATGGAGCTGTTATCCTTTAGCAACTGTATACATATTTTTGGGATTTATAGGAGAGACATTCCATGCAAAATAGATGCGCTGTGAGCAGGATTCGAACCTACGCAGGGAGTCCCCATTGGATTTCAAGTCCAACGCCTTAACCACTCGGCCATCACAGCAGTACACAAGGATACCTCTGTAACCTTTCCAAAAGAAGGCAAGTTGGGCAAGAATGTCTTTAGGTACATCTACATTGTTGAATCAAAGCAGTTTGATACTACTTTAACTGCCATAATAGTGAATATTATAGTCTACCATGGTCTTTTTAGCTTTGACTGCCAAAGAGTGCTAACTGCATTAATTAATTGTTTTTTCCCTAAATTTAGAATTATCCAATTATTAGCAATTATCCAAGAGTGCATCTACAGTGCAGACTTAATGCAGTTTGACACCACTTTAGATGCCATGGGACTTGTAGTTTTAAAAAGTCCTTTCTGCTAAAATGTGCTGGTGCCCTACCAAAACTACAAATCCCAGGATTCCAGAGTATTTGTGAAATGGTACTTAAAAGTATTTATTATAAGTTTAAAACCATTATTTTAAAGTATTTATTTACTTACTATTATTTACTAAAAGTCCTTCCTGCTAAAATGGGCTAGTGCCCTACCAAAACTATAAATCTCAGGATTCCAGAGCATTTGTGAAATGGCACTTAAAAGTATTTATTATTACTTTAAAAACAATTGTTTTAAAGTATTTATTTATTTACTATTATTTTTATTGTGATTTTAAAGTATTTATTTATTTACTATTATTTACTAAAAGTCCTTCCTGCTAAAATGGGCTGGTGCCCTACCAAAACTACAAATCCCAGGATTCCAGAGCGTTTGTGAAATGGCACTTAAAAGTATTTATTATTAGTTTAAAACCATTATTTTAAAGTATTTATTTATTTACTATTATTTACTAAAAGTCCTTCCTGCTAAAATAGGCTGGTGCCCTACCAAAACTACAAATCCCAGGATTCCAGAGTTTTTGTGAAATGGTACTTAAAAGTATTTATTATTAGTTTAAAACCATTATTTCAAAGTATTTATTTATTTACAATTATTTACTAAAAGTCCTTCTTGCTAAAATGGGCTGGTGCCCTACCAAAACTACAAATCCCAGGATTCCAGAGCATTTGTCAAATGGTACTTAAAAGTATTTATTATTAGTTTAAGACCATTATTTCAAAGTATTTATTTATTTACTATTATTAAAGTCAAAACTGCATTAATCCTGCTCCTGAGAAATAGTACAGTAATGTCTACAACTGGAAAAGTATTTTCCTTTGAGGAACGAAATGGCAAGCAAGAGGTTAAGAGGATGGGCATTTGCCCACAGTCAAGATGGTCGACTAGGCTTTGTCACGCTTGGTAAAATCTCGCGATATTCTAGGAAGCGGGCAAAACAGAACAGAACAAGCCTCCCAAGCGGTTGCTATGGGCAACGGCGAGGCCTAGCGCTGAGGCCTCAAACTCGAGTCCTGGGGGAAAATTGAATGTTCCCGCCAAAAGTATAGGTGAGTAAAGTGGGGAGGATTTGAGGCTCTATTAATGAGTTGTTTCATTAATTAATATGATGAATTCCATTAGGAATGGAAGTTGAAATAAAGGACAGGCCTCTTAGGCCTTGAATGGTTATATAGAAGAGGGAATATCAGCTGATTACTGTTTAATTGGCAGGTTTTAAATGTGTCAAGTGCCTTCAGGTGCAAGGCTTTGTTTTGTTTTTGAGGGAGCGACCTTTATAACGATAATAACAATAACAACTATTATTATTATCACAATAATAATAATAATAAACTCTGCCAAATTGACAAAGAAAAAGCATGGCTGTGGCTCACAAATGGAACTTTGAAAAAGGGGATGGAGGGCCTTATTCTGGCAGCCTAAGAACATGCCATTAGAACAAACGCTATCAAAGCCAGAATTGAAAAGTCAGCGACAGATCTCAAATGTAGACTCTGCCAGGAAGCAGATGAAACAATAGATCCCATCTTCAGCTGCTGCAAGAAGATCGCACAGACAGACTACAAGCAGAGGCACAACACCGTTGCTCAGATGATTCATTGTAACCTGTGCCACAAACACCATCTGCCTGAGACAAAGAACTGGTGGGATCACAAGCTGGAAAGCGTTACAGAGAATGAACATGTCAAACTTCTCTGGGACTTCAGAATTCAGACTGAAAGAGTTTTGGAGCACAACACTCCTGACCTCACAATCGTGTTAAAAAACAAAGTATGGATTGGCGATCTTGCAATCCCAGGCGACAGCAGGATTGAAGAGAAACAACTGGAAAAGCAGACATGATATGAGGATTTAAAGATCAAACTGCAAAGACTCTGGAACAAGCCAGTCAAGGGGGCCCCAGTGGTGATCGGCACACTGGGTGCAGTGCCTAAAGACCTTGGCCTGCACTTAAACGCAATCAGCACTGACAAGATTACCATCTGCCAGCTACAGAAGGCCACTGTACTGGGATCTGCACACATTATTCGCCGATACATCACACAGTCCTAGACACTTGGGAAGTGCCCGACATGTGATCCAATACATCAGAGTGATCTTGTCTGCTGTGGACTCATCTTGTTGTGTTTCAAATAATAATAATAAACTTTATTTATACCTCGCCACCATCTCCCCAAAGGGACTCGGGGTGGCTAACAGGAGGACAAGGCCAAGGATTACAATACAGCAAAGTAAAATACAACAGCAAATAATAATAACAAAGTAAAATGCAAACAAGAGCAAATACACAATAAACAAATGCAAAATAAAATAGTGGAAGAATAAAAACACAGTGGGCAGGCGAAATGCGCAGGATAAAATTGATAAAACCCTGGGTGAGATTAGGTAAATGGAGTAATGTTTATCTGGGGGAGAACTCAGAAGGGCGAACAATGTGGTTGACCTTCACTAAGGGATGAGAGAAAGTGCATCATGAGGACCGATCTGTACTGGGATATTATCATGTCCACTTAAAAGTTTGTGCTAAGTCCACACCAATCACATAAACTTATTATTATTAGCACCCATCATCCCATGCTCACCCTTCATAGTGATTTGTTTGTGTCTTTCTTGTCCTCTCTGTTGACAGGATTGCATTGCCCTTTGGGTGCTTGGAGAGAATGCCTTTGGTCAGCGGAGTGGTACCCGCACGGTTCCTGACCATCACAGCCCACTTGGTCATCGTCATCACTATCTTCTGGTCAAGGGTGAGAGAGTCATCCCCATCCTTGGGGTGCAATTCCAACCTCCTCAAATGTGCTTCCAATTGTTTGTGCCTCCTCCTTAATGCTGCAAGACCTCCTTAATGCTGCATGAAAATGAATTATGCCTCTCTCAAGTGAACTTCAGAAAAACACCTTCCCTTCCTGGACAGATAGCCAATTCATCTAGTGATGTTGAATGTCTGGGAGTCAGGATTGTATAGTAGAATCATAGTTGGAAGAGCCATCCCATCCAACCCACTGCCATTCAGGAACACAGGATGAGGCACTCCTGAAGATCGCCACCCAGCCTCTGCTTAAAAACCTGCTTTAAAACCTGGTAGGGACAAGAGACAGGGCCTTCTCAGTGGTGGCCCCTCAGCTGTGGCACTCCCTAGGCATATTAGATTGGCCCCCTCCCTCCTGACTTTCAGAAAGAGAGTAAAAACTTGGTTCTTTGAACACGTGTTTGGTAATGCAGCGGAATAAATAATTATGAAATAGGAAGAATGAACAAGGAATGACTAGACCAGGGGTTCTCAAACTAAGTCCCGGGGGCCGGATGCGGCCCTCCAAGGTCATTTACCTGGCCCTCACGCAGGGTCAACCTAAGTCTGAAATGACATGAAAGCACACAATAATAACAACAATCCTATCTCATCAGCCAAAAGCAGGCCCACACTTCCCATTGAAATACTAATAAATTTATATTTGTTAAAATTGTTCTTCATTGTAATTACTGTATTGTTTTAAAATGGTGTTTTGCACGACAAATAAGATATGTTCAATGTGCATAGGAATTCATGCATGTTTTTCTCAAATTATAATCCGGCCCTCCAACAGTTTGAGAGACTGTGACCTGGCCCTCTGTTTAAAAAGTTTGAGGACCCCTGGACTAGACTATGCTGTTGGACAATGATTTTAACAGGACAACACTGGTGATGATATGGTTTTAATGGTTTATATGGATCTTATAATAAGTTGAATGTTTTTTACTGTACTTTATGAATGTATGGCATCAATTTCTGTAAGATGCCTTGAGTCGCTGTAAGGCTGAGAAAGGCGGGCTACAAATGCTTTAAATAAACAAACAAACAAATAAAAACCTCCCAAGAAGGAGACTCTGAGGCAGCATATTCCGTTGTTGAATAGCTCTTACCATCAAGTTCTTCCTAATGTTTAGGTGGAATCTTTTCCCCTGCAATTTAAACCCATTGCTCCATGTTATAGTCTCAAGTGGTGTGAATATTTGAGTAGAACTCAGAGGATTTCAGGGTTTGAATTCCCACTTAGTCATGAAAATTGCTGGGTGAATTTGGTGGTTAAGAGGAAAGTAATGGCAAACCTCTTCTGCATGAGTTTTGCTGGGAAAACTCTGGGATGGGGTTTCTATAAGTTGGGATTGGCTTGAAGACCTATAGCAACAACGTCACAATTTAAGCTGCATCTACAGCAGACATGGGCAAACATTGGCCCTCCAGGTGTTTTGTACCAACCCCCTTAATTTCTACTGGCTGTTAGGAACTGTGGGAGTTGAAGTCTAAAACTCCTGGACAGCCAGTTTGCCCAGGCCTGATCTACAGTGTAGAATGAATGCACTTTGACACCACTTTAATGGAATCCTGAGTTTTGTAGTTTGGTAAAGCACCAGCATTCTTTGACATAGATTGCTAAAAACCTTGTAAAATTACAACTCTTGTGATTCCAAAGCACTGAGCTGAGAATAATATACTGTGCACTATTGGCATTACAGCTGGAGATGCTCAGTTTTTCTATGTCAATCCAGCTGAGATTCACACTGAGACAGGAGATGTGCAAAGAGGCTTTGCCTCTCCTAATGGGGATTTCTCAAATAAAGTAGAAACTGAACCTTTTCTAGCCCTCTTTTCTGCCTCTTAGATGTTTGCCACACAGAGCCACTTCAAGAACAATCTCTCCAGAAGATCTAATAGGTGTGAAGGATATTGAGAAATAAGATGTCAGGGGTTGGTCCGGGGTGCAGGAGGAAAAGTTGTAATCTACTGGGAAGATTACAACTTCCAGAAAAGGTTTCCCCCCTTTTCACACTCTGTGTATGGTACAAACATAGTCAGATATGCTTTATGAAAGAGCCCAAAGCAACTGGAACAGGCTGTGTCGTCAGACTGTCTGGCTTCTTCCTTCAGCAGATCTCAATCTGTGTCTTCTAGGGTGTTGTAGTTCAGCCTGTGGTTGCGTCTGATGTTCATGATGGGAATGATGATGAAGGGTTTTCTGGGCCTGGTTCTAATGGTAATGGGGATGAGGGTTTTATGAGCTGTCTCATGAAGATTCACAAGGTCACATTCCTGAGAGAGGCCCTCAACAATCTTTCTCTGAGAAACTGTCTTCTGAACATGAATTGTCAGGGGCAGAGTTTAATGACAGTGAAGATAGAAAGCAAGACTTTTGTAAACAGGCATAGTTCTCAGGCACAACAAAAGTCAATTTGTTAGCAGGAAAAGAGAGATAAGAAATCCTTATCTGGTTGTAAGGGTAAGAGAAATGCTTTCCTTTCGTTTCAGGGGTCAGGAAAAGTTTTATATTGATACATGGGAAATAATTGTGTCAGTCTCGTCAACGTTGGAATTTCATGACAGTCTTGTTTCCAAGTGTTCCTAGTTTCATGTTCCAAGTTTTGCCAGGCTCCTGATCTGTGTATTGGATTTTTATGCTGCCTTGTTCTGTGGATTTTGTACCTTTGAATGTTGCGTTTTACCTTGTGCCTTGAAGCTCATGGACTATTAATTATCTTGGGACTATACTGTTTTTACCATTTTTACTGCTTTGCTTAAATTTATTCCTCAAATAACTGCTTGCTGATTTTACCAAGCTGGTGTTTAAAGTCAGAAGTGTTCCTGCTCTGGAGTACAACATAGAGGGAGTTTCTTGTGGGAATGAGAGTAATGCCTCACACAAAAGGAATAATAGGGCTTGCTAGTGCCTGGTTCCTTGTGCTGAACCAACACATAGTCTCTCTTCTAGGAAAACAATGTCCGAGCTTCATTACCCCTCCAGTGCACTTACGAGGAGTTTGAGGATCGGGACACAGAGTAAGTACCTTGCCTTACCTTCTTCAATTGTCTTCTGTAATACATATGTAGACCAGAGTCTGTAGAACTAACTGCTTTTCTGCATGGAAACCTGAAAACTGCATTTCACTTCCCCTGTCTTCTGCTGCCATCCATTACTTACAGCGGTTCCCTAACTGTGTTTCCCGGAACCCTAGTGTTCCACAAAAGCATTGTAAGGTTCCACAGAAAAATCTTTAAAATAAAATTTAAAATTAATTTTTAAAATAAAAGCACAGGAGGCCAACTATTTGATTTGCAGACTCCATAAAAATCTATCTTGTGCTATAATGATTGTTATCCATTACATAATTTCTGGCTACACATTTCAACATTTTACAACAAGAATGAATCTTTTTCATGTTAATTTCACATTTCTTTTTTATCTTTTTTCTTTTTTGTACAGTTTTTGAGATAAAAGACATTTGGGATGTTGGGTTGCTATTCATAAAATATCAGAATAAAGTTTACTCAAAAACTAGATGTTATATGGTGGGGACGAGAGATAGGGCCTTCTCAGTGGTGGCCCTTCAGCTGTGGAATTCCCTCCCCAGGGATATTAGAGCAGCTCCCTCCCTCCTGGCCTTCAGAAGGGAAGTGAAAACCTGGCTTTTGGGTCAAGCCCTTGGAGATTAACTACAGTGCAATAGTAACTACAAAATATGTGTAATGATTTTTTGAATGACCCCGGATTATGGTTGTGGATGACGTGATTTTAATAACAATTGCAATGTTTTAATGTGCATTTAATTTTAATTTTAAATTTTTAACTTGAATGTATTTTGTTTGTTGTCCAAAGGCATTGAATAGTTGCCATATGTAAAGCTGCCTTGAGTCCTCCTCGGGGACAAATAGAGTAAAATAATAATAATAATAATAATAATAATAATAATAATAATAATAATAATAATAAGAAATTCAGAGACATATTTGAAATAGCATACAATGATCCAGAATATATATTTTTGGTTAAATAAATCAGGGATATAGTTATTTTTATTTATTTATTTTGTTTATTTATATCCTGCTTTTTCTCTCCATACAGAGACTCAAAGTGGCTCATAACTGAAAGCATTTCAGTACAACTTAAAATATACAAATATTAAAATAGTATTAAATTACATTAATATTAAAACAATCCAGGTTAAGACCATAAAATCATATAAAATCACATCACAAAGTAATAATAACTTCATAATAACAACTTTATTTTTGTATCTAGCCACCATCTCCCCAAAGGGATTCGGGGCAGCTTACACACAGTACAAGTGTCTATGTATGTGTGTGTATGTGTGTGTGTGTGTGTATTCATGTTTTGTTTCTCTAAAAAGAAAACATGAAATAAAGCACAATATAAAACACAATTTATTTATTTATTTATTTATTTATATCATTTTTCCCCACCCATATCAACCCAAAGGCGACTCAAACATACAGGCATATGAAAACAACAACTTAAAACTCAAATAACAGCACTCATCAACCGAATGGCAGTAAGCTACTGTAAGATGTGGCCAGGCTGTAAACAACAGTGCAAGGGAATGAGATAAGTACAGAGTTGTACCCATGGAGTGAGGGCATAAGATGAAGTTCAAGGCTGCATAACTATGCACAGCAGCCCTTGATGGTCTTAAACACTTTCATCTTTAAATGCCTGTTTGAATAAAAAGGGTTTAGCCTGCTACTGGAAGGACAGTGAGGTGGTGGCCATTCTGGCTTCCCTGGGCAGGGAGTTCCAGAGTTGAGGCACATTTACCATGGAGAAGGAAGGCCCGCTTTCTCATTCCCACTAACCGAGCTTGAGATAGGGTTCTGCGGTGAGTGAAAGTCTTCCAAACAACTCCATGGCTGAAAAAAAAAAGGTCAACCACTGACTTAGATGGCTCAGAGAAAGGCAGAATTCAATTATTAAAAGTAAATGAATGAACTTGGAATAAATATAAAGAAAAAAGTGTATCCCTGTGATTTGCACAGTGGCTGCCATATACAAGCACCTCAGGGCTATTCATAGTGGTGGACTTACTTCAGGAGCACTTTAAAGTTCAGATTAAAACACAGAGTAGATTTATCTCCCCACTGGCATATCCCTCACCAGCCAGAAAAAATCATGTTTATGATTGTGAGTTTTACTAATAGTGACAATAAAAATAAATGAAATTGGAGGGGGGAGGTAAGAGGGAGAGAAAAGAAACTGAAGCCCCACCTACACTGCTATACAAAATCTAGATAATAATAATAATAATAATAATAATAATAATAATAACACTTTATTTGTACCCCGCTATCATCTCCCCATGGGACTCGGTGCGGCTTACATGAGGCCGAGCCCAAACACAACAATACAAGCAAATAAAATAAAAACATAGACAATAAAATATACAACATTATCAATAAGACAACACACAATTAAAAACAGTGGGATGGCCAAATGTAGAGATTAAAATTGGAAATAATGCTGGGACATGGCCAAAAAGGTAAAATGGAGTTTGTGGAAAGGCATACGAGCAGACCTAAAAAATGTAAAGTGCTTTGGAGGACAAAGTGCATTGAGATCATTATTCCAGGAAGGCATACTGGAACAGCCACGTCTTCAAGCTCCTCCTGAAGACTGCCAAAGTTGGGGCCTGTCTGATGTCTTTAGGGAGGGAGTTCCAGAGTCGAGGGGCCACCACTGAAAAGGCCCTCTCTCTCGTCCCCACCAATCGCGCCTGCGAAGCTGGTGGGATCGAGAGCAGGGCCTCCCCGGATGATCGAAGGGATCGTGTGGGTTCGTATACAGAGATGCGATCACGCAGGTAGGCGGGTCCCAAACCGTTCAGGGCTTTGTAGGTAAGAACCTGCACCTTGAATTGGGTCTAGTAGATGAATGGCAGCCAGTGGAGCTCCTTGAACAGGAGGGATGACCTCTCTCTGAAAGGAGCCCCAGTTAACAACCTGGCTACTGCCCGTTGGATCATCTGAAATTTGCGGGCCGTCTTATCTGCTTTGGACTGAATTATATGGCAGCGTAGAGTCATATAATTCAATTCAAAGCACATAATGTGGATTATCTGATATGATAATCTGGATTATATGGCAGTGCAGATCCAGCTCCAGTTAATGTTGAGATGGCTGATCATGTTGTGGAACCATGTACAGAATGTAATTTCCTTTGCTCAGCAGTTTCATGCTGTTTCTGTGTGTCTGTGCATATGAACATTAGACAGAGAAAGAGAGACTAGCAGAGATTGGTTGCTAGAAGAAAGATCAAGAAAAAAATGTCAGGTTTCTTTAGAACGGGCATGGGCAAACTTCGGCCCTCCAGGTGTTTTGAACTTCAACTCCTAAAATTCCTAACAGCCGGTGGGATTTGAAGTCCAAAACACTGAAGTTTACCCATGCCTGCTTTAGAAAAATAAGAAACATCCCTTCTTGTGGCTTTCCTTCTCCAGGTTGGTGGTGGCGCTCTCGGTAACCCTTGGCCTGTTTGTTGTGGAGCTGGCTGGCTTCTTCTCTGGGGTGTCCATGTTCAACGACATGCAAAGCCTTCTCTGTATCCTTTATGAACGGTAGAGGGGAATGCAGAAGCTAGATGAGAGTGGAGAAGATACATCCATACAGAGGGCAGTTTAGATGCACTGACCGGGTTGCTTATAGCCTGAGGGAGTTGACTCCAAGTGTAGAGAACCAGCTTTGATACCAATTTGAAATTTATTTCACTCAAATCCAGGAGTTAGATAAGTGCCGGTGGACATCATGAGGCAGTGAAGCAACCAGAATCCTCACCTTCGTTAGCATGGACATACTTCTGCTCACAACCACTGATTCTGTCCCTGAGGTTGTGATTATAGCTTACTGCCAAATGCAGCTTCTGTAGCAGCCCACCCCTCAAACCTTACAGCCACCCCATTAGGACTTTGAGAGTGGGTTGTAGTGAAGTGTTGACTGTTGTTGCTCCCTGACTGAGCATCCTTCACTGTTGCAGCCACAGTTGCTCACTCATCTGCTGCCATCACCTTACTCTTCTTCCTCTTTGAGCAGTGGGACAGCAACCTCTACTGGTGGATCCTTGCCTTTTGCAGGTCAGTTCCATGAACTTTTTTTCCGTGTCAGGAGCGACTTGAGAAGCTGCAAGTTGCTTCTGGTGTGAGAGAATTGGCCGTCTGCAAGGACGTTGCCCAGGGGACACCTGGATGTTTTCCCATCCTGTGGGAGGCTTCTCTAATGTCCTCACATGAGAAGCTGGATCTGACAGACAGGAGCTCCCCATGCTCCCCAGATTTGAACCGCTGACATTTCGGTCAGCAGTCCTGCTGGCACAAGGGTTTAACCCATTGCAACACTAGAACTATAACATACTCAAGCAGCCACCAGCTACTACTATGCCGCTCATGGAAAAGGCAGGGGAGCGGGGCCACACAGCAGAATAAATATGAAAGTTGAAGTTAGGCCACATTGAGAAGCCATGGGAAGAAGCAAAGTCTCAAAATGGGGAGGGGGGCATTGCTATTCCTTTAGAGTTAAGTATGTTGTCTTCTTGTCCCTAGAATCTTGGCTCCCTTCTTGCATGCATTTAAGACATTAATGCCAGCATGTTTTTTTTTCTTTCAAAAGCAGCAGTGGACAAGGTGTGACTGTGAAGTTGCACACTCTCTCAAAACCCTTTTTTGGGCCCTCAACAGTTCCAAACTCCCTAGTTTTCCATTCCTAGGCAAAAAAAGTATGATTTTATCTCTTCAAATGCTCCAGAAGTTGGCAGTTCATCTTTTCAGTAGGGTGGACCTTGCTCTGCACTACTTATCTTCCAAAATACGCATTTTTTCCCAAACAAGTGGTCATTTACAATAAGAGGAAAGCAATCTGTTCAGCTTCTGGAGGGAACCTAGGATAAAACATGGCCTCTGAAGGAATCTGAGGGCCCTTCCAGACAGGCCCTATATCCCAGGATTGGATCCCAGGGTTTCTGCTTTAAACTGGATTATATGAGTCCACACTGGCAGATAATCTGGGATAAAGAGAAAACCTGGGATCAGATCCTGGGATATAGGGCCTGTCTGGAAGGACTCAAAGTGTAACTAATAACCATTGTAAACCCTTGAACCATCTCATCTAGTTGCTGTTATGAGGATAGTGTACATGTTCAAAAGAGAGCCCTCTTTCCACCTTTAGTGCTGGGTGGACGTCAGTTCTTCCTCTTCCCTTCAAAATGGGTAGTGAAGTCTAGCACAGGTTGCTCAGTCTCACAGACCCAGCCACCCTCAATAAAACAACCATTTCCCTGACTGACTGCATCAGCTCTGGCTGCTCACTGTAGCGCCTCCATCTGCCTCTCCTTTTTCGTCTTTGAACGCTGGGAGATAGTCACTTACTGGTACATCATGGGCTTCTGCAGGTAGATTCCTAGCTCTGCTCTTTGTGTACATTTGTTTTAGAATGTATCTATAATACTCCACAGGTGGGCATGTTCAATCTCTGCCCACGAAGTAGGCATTGATCTTTCCCTTCTTTGTCCTTTTCCCTTCCAGCGCATTACCTGCTGCTATTGAGGTCTTGCTCTTCATCTCGGTCTTTGGACTGAAGAAGAAGCCTTTTTGAAGAACTGGGGCACTCGGTCCAGAGGAAGAGAACTTTTTTAGGATCACACTGTGGGAGGGAATCGCCCTATGAAACCTGCAAGACTGATTTGAAAGTGCTTTTCAGCAGAATATGGAAAGATGACTGCAGCCAGAGAAAAGGAAAGGATTGAAATATCTGGGGCAGTGGCTTGGGTTTTGTGCCCTCCCTCCTTCCCAGATTTCTCCTCTTCCTCTCTGCCCTTTGTCTCCATTCATAATGGTTCCTGTCCTAATAAGAGGGTGGTCTCCTGCAGCATGCTGGTGCCCTCCAGCGGAGTCCTTTGGCTGTTGCAACTTCTCCTGCATCAACAGGGAATCTGCACATTTAACAATCATGCACATGTTTTCATCCATAGTGCCAAACTCAACTTTCAGAAGAGATTGAAGTGTTTATGGCTGGCTGGCCAGCTTAAGCGGCTGAGGGGGAAAAGGAAGGGGCCTGAGGCTGTTAGGAATGGTAGGAGTTGAAGTCCAAAACACCTGCAGGGCCCAAGCTGGCCCATACCTGGTCTATTGTACATGTCAATAAAAGGCAACCACATTCATCTCTGTGCTCAAAGGAAAACATATCAAGGAAGGGGCCTGAGGCTGTTAGGAATGGTGGAAGTCCAAAACACCTGGAGGGCCAAAGTTCGCCCATGCCTGCTTTGTAAAGATCGAAGTCAGATAATCACTTTGGGAAGGAATAGTGTTTGTTTTGCTGATAGGCATGCATTATATTCTGTATAGATTACGGTTGGTGGTGCTGTTTTAAGACTAAAATTGCTTTTTTAATAATAAAAAAACCGTAATAAAACCAGGACTTTCTTATAAACCTGTGGATTTATTTATTTCTTGTCAAAAGCATTGCATAAATAAGTATAAAACTGATAAAATAGAGGGAGCACAAGCAGTGCAATAATAATGTAATGCAATATAATATATTGTATATACATGTAATATTTATGATATTATAATTATATATTTACATTACTAATAATATTACAATATAATGGTATAGTACAATATAGTAATATTTAATACTGATACTGTACTATGCTAATAATATAATATATTGTATGTATATATACCTTGTAAGCCGCTCTGAGTCCCCTTCAGGGTGAGAAGGGCGACATATAAATGGTGCAAATAAATAAATAAATAAATAAATAAATAAATAAATAAATAAATTTGGACCAAAAATGAGCAACGGTGATCACATTGTCTGTAGCTTTAAACCAGGGGTCCTCAAACTACGGCCCAAGGGCCAGATACAGCTCTCCAAGACCATTTACTTGGCCCTCGCTCAGGGTCAACCTAAGTCTGAAACGACTTGAAAGCTCACAACAACAACAACAACAACAACAATCCTATCTCATCAGCCAAAAGCAGGCCCACACTTCCCATTGAAATACTAATAAGTTTATATTTGTTAAAATTGTTCTTCATTTTAATTATTGTATTGCTTTTAAGTGTTTTTTGCACTACAAATAAGATATGTGCAGTGTGCATAGGAATTCATTCATGTTTTTTTTCAAATTGTAATCTGGCTCTCCAGCAGTTTGAGGGACTGTGGCCTGGCCCTCTGTTTAAAAAGTTTGAGGACCCCTGCTTTAAACAATTCTTCCTCTGTATATGAGGCAGGGCATTTTAGACCAAAAACGGGCAACAGCATTGGCATTGTCTGTAGCCTCCAACAATTCTTCCTTTGTACATGAGGCAGGGCATTGTGGGCGAGCATACAAATGCGGAGTTGTCTGTTCTGCTCCACAGTCACACAAGGTGGAGGATTCTTCTAGGTAGTGCCATTTAGTCAGGTTGTATTTTGATCTGCCCACTCCACTTCTGAGTCTGTTCAGGGACTTCCAAGTTGCCCATTCTTGGTTTGCCCCTGGAGGAAGACCCTCGTGGGGGGCCATCCAATTGAGATTTCCTCGTTTAGCTGGGATAGTCTTGCTGTTGCTGGGGAACGTTAAGAGGAGTCATGGTTCTCATGAAGCTTTTCCTTGATTTGCATCTACTGGGAGGAGGCTGGTAGCCATGCAGTGAGTGGCTTTCACAATGTTCAACCTTATTTCTCTCACAGTTAGCAGCAACTTCCCATTGCACAATGCCAGCTAGCTTGTCGAGTCTATCAACAGGTGTAGGTTTAAGACATCCTGTGATTATTCTGCATGTTACGTTCAATGCTATGTTCACCTGCTTCACATGGGCAGACTTGTGCCAGACAGGGCAGGCATACTCAGCAGTTGAGTAAGACGAGGCCAGGGCTGATGTTCTTATTAATTTTGGGTCTGCACCCCATGCGCTGCCAGTAAGTTTCCGCAAGAGATCACTGCATGCAGCTACTTTGTGCTTGGTGTTCATGCAGTGTTTCCTAAATGTTAGTGTTCGATCTAAGATGACACTGAGATATTTAGGATGGGAACAGTTTGAGTTCTTGGCCTTCCCAGGAAACTTTCAATTTCTTGTTGGCTTCGTAGTTGCGTAGGTAGAAAGCACATACTTGTGTCTTGGCATGGTTAAGCTTCGGGTGGTTATCTTTGTAGTAGCTGGAGAGATCTTTCAAGACATTCATAAGTTGGATTTCGACTGTTTCAAAGTCATTTGAAAACCTCCAGGTGTAAAGAGTACTTCTTAAACTTACTATACGTGTGATTTGAAAGTTGTACTGTAACCCCTTCCACCACAGAAGGGCTTTAGAAGAACCTGCTTCCCCTCTCCTGCCTGCTGGACAGATGCAGTGGTTCTCAACCTTCCTAATGCTGCGACCCCTTAATACAGTTCCTTACCCTAACCCTAACCCCCAGCCATAACTTTATTTTCATTGCTATTTCACAACTGTAATTTTGCTCCTGTGATGAATCATCTTGTAAATATCCAATATGCAGCATGTATTTTCATTCATTTGGCACAAATACTCGATACGCCCAAATTTGAATACTGGTGGGGTTGAGGGGAGGATTGAGTTTGTCATTTGGGAGTTGTAGTTGCTGGGATTTATAGTTCACCTACAGTATCAAAGGGCATTCTGAACTCCACCAATGATGGAATTGAACCAAACTTGGGACACAGAGCTCCCATGATCAACAGAAAATACCAGAAGGGTTTGGTGGGCATTGACCTTGGGTTTTGGACTTGTAGTTCACCTACATCCAGAGAGCACTGATGCATCTGGACCAAACTTGGTACAAATACTCAATATGCCGAAATGCGGACACTAGTGGGGTTTGGGGAAGATAGACCTTGACATTTGGGAGTTGTAGTTGCTAGGATTTATAGTTCACCTATAATCAAAGAGCATTCTGAAC